AGACAGATGTATTAAAGAACAGATTTTTTTTCGAACTGCTTTATGTTAGTTGCATTTATTTCACCGGTTAAGTTCTCAAAAATTGTTTTTGGGTGTGAAATTTCGTGCGAAGTTTGAAGTTTTACTACAAAAACAATTTCTGTCAGTCATTGCTATTAAAATCACTTGAAATCAGACTTTTGTAACCGGTCACGAGCGCATGTCAGCCAATCAAATTTAAGGATTTAGAATTTCGGCCCGCTCAGATACTTGAGAAAAATAATTTTATTATTATTTTAGTATTCTATATATTTTGGGGGCGTTTTTAATGAGTAAATTATTCTCCTCGTGCTTGTTGGATATGAGATCGTTATAGACAACTCTGCCCTATGTGCTTCGTTGGCAATCTCCCGTCTCATATCCAACGCGCGCGAGTGGAATAATTGTTAAATATAAACTAAATTAAGGCTAGGCTAATGGGAATTTTCGTAAGTGACCACAGCTGAGTGAGGGCATGAACTACGTTGCTCGTCATAATCTCAGCACTATTAAGGTCGTTTGTTCGTAACAAAAAGAAATATTTTGTCGTCACTGTTCCAAGTCACCTTTTCGTTCTTCTAAGACGGAGGGCCAATCTCTACTTGAAGAAACACTGTGTTGTTGACAATGTAGCCCCTCGTCTTTAGGACCTTGTGGGACACAAATCTTGCGATGCCTTCCATGCTGTGGGATACATCTGAAGTGGGTTTACTTCCTCGGCTTATCAGAGATTGTGTCACATTTTCTCTCCATGACCAAGGCATGTTTTGTTGATCAATCAACGTAAATGTGACCTTACAATGAAAAGGCCAAGCCAGTATGTTGTCGTAGTTACCTTTCATGATACGGAGGTGTACTGAAAGATACCTGTGCTTCCATGAATGATTGCCATCGGGTTGAATACAGACTGATAGTTTGTAACCTGTTTTTCCAGTGAAGAATGGCTCACTGTATATTTCACGCTCAGTTCCATCGATGGCCCGTTGTAAAATCTCGCTGAAACCATTTATCTTCCACACAAATGTGGAGGATTCACTTCTCAATACAGAGACCTCTTTCCCCTGAGCGGCCACCTTTGCATCAAGAGCGACGTTTGCCGCTATCAACTCTTTCACTTGCTCCCTTAGTGTTATTCTTTCCTTGTCAAGTTCTTCTTGCTTCAGTTGGAGCGCGTTTACCTTTTCTTCAAGCTTTCCAGTAGTTTCTTTAAAAGTTGTACATGCTAAGTCAAGATGCAGCTGCACTGTGGACTGAAGATGGGTTTCGACTTCCTTCCTCTGAATCTAAACGCAGAATTTAACAAATTACTCACGCTAGTAATTTAGCTGAAATAAAAAAGGATCGGCTGGTTCGGTTTGATCCACCTATAGCTTAGTTGGCTGGTAGCACGTCTTCAAAGAGGGAACGAATGGGTTCAAATCTCCACGGGTCTATCCGTCTTGAACAAGATCACACTGGATTTGGCTTTGCAGAGATTGCGTTTTTGGGCAAAGACGTTAAGTCGTTCGCTTAACGTCTTAACGTAACTCAATGGGACAGTCAAAGAATTGTTCTTAAGTCTGCAGGGGCGGATTTAACGGGGTGGGGGTAGATTGGACCTCTATCCACCCCTTCTTAGAGAAGCGAAACATAAAAAAATTGAAAAAAGCTCGTGAATATTATCGCAGAGATACAGGCAAACTCTCTGAACTGGTACCTCATTGTAATTTCTGCTTTGTGGCATTGTTAGTATTTTCATTGAAACTGTTTTCATTTAGGTTCCAATTCTCAGATTGCAACATTTTAGGAACACGCCCCATTGATTCTGCAACCCCA